AGAGGATGGGTACATGGTGGCCATAAAGGGATGGACATGGTCAGAAACAATGCTCAGGTAGGCCGTGGCATTTAAACGATGCCCAATTGGCACTAAGGGGCCTAAAGTGTGCCAGGAAAACATCCCCCACACCATTACACCACCACCACCAGCCTGCACAGTGGTAACAAGGCATGATGGTTCTATGTTCTCATTCTGTTTACGCCAAATTCTGACTCTAACATCTGAATGTCTCAACAGAAATCGAGACTCATCAGACCAGGCAACATTTTTCCAGTCTTCAACTGTTCAATTTTGGTGAGCTCTTGCTAATTGTAGCCTCTTTTTCCTATTTGTAGTGGAGATGAGTGGTACCCGGTGGAGTCTTCTGCTGTTGTAGCCCATCCGCCTCAAGGTTGTGCGTGTTGTGGCTTCACAAATGCTTTGCTGCATACCTCGGTTGTAACGAGTGGTTATTTCAGTCACTGTTGCCCTTCTATCAGCTCGAACCAGTCTGGCCATTCTCCTCTGACCTCTGGCATCAACAAGGCATTTCCGCCCACAGAACTGCCGCTCACTGGATGTTTTTTCTTTTTCGGACCATTCTCTGTAAACCCTAGAGATGGTTGTGCGTGAAAATCCCAGTAGATTAGCAGTTTCTGAAATACTCAGACCAGCCCTTCTGGCACCAACAATCATGCCACGTTCAAAGTCACTCAAATCAACTTTCTTCCCCATACTGATGCTCGGTTTGAACTGCAGGAGATTGTCTTGACCATGTCTACATGCCTAAATGCACTGAGTTGCCGCCATGTGATTGGCTGCTTAGAAATTAAGTGTTAACGAGCAGTTGGACAGGTGTACCTAATAAAGTGGCCGGTGAGTGTATATATATATATATATAATATTTATTTAATAATTTTATACTTTTACAGAATACAGAATCATTTTTGTGACGTAATTTTCCCGGGGACAGAGACGACAGAAAACGTTTTGTCGTTAGCCTATTGTGACTGTACATGAATACAAGTTTACAGTTTTGAATGATGTAGGCTACTCTTATCTGTAAGACCAAAAAATGGCGAAGTATATCAAGCTTGTAGCTGTCTGAACCACTTTTTTTTTGTGTTCAGGCAATCTGTATGGCCGGCTGCGAACCACCACGCCCGGCTCTGTCTCAATATGGTGCTGGATCAGATAAGTACGACCAGGCAGGGGCGAAAACACATCTGCAAACTCTCTTTGTAATCTTGTGATGTCAGTGAGCTGCGAGGGCGAGAGATGCCCCACAGGGCTGACGTCCATAAAGAAGCTCGAAGGGGGAAAACCCTGTGGAGGCTTGCGGGATCTCTCGCACGGCGAATAAGAGGGGTTCTAGCCACCTGTCCCAATTTTTCGCGTCTTCCTGTACGAATTTACGAATCATTGTTTTCAACGTGCAATTAAACCGTTCGACCAGTCCGTCCCTTTGTGGGTGATAGACGCTGGTACGCACCGATTTAATACCCAATAATTCGTACAATTCGCTTAACGTGCGTGACATAAACACGGTGCCCTGATCCGTGAGAATCTCTTTCGGGATTCCCACGTGGGAGATTAAACGAAACAGGGCGTCTGCCACACTCTTAGCTGATATAGTGCGTAGCGCCACTGCTTCGGGATATCGCGTTGCGTAGTCTACTATAACTAACGCAAAGCGATGTCCCCGTGCCGACCGTTCTAATGGCCCGATGAGGTCCATACCAGTTCTTTCGAAGGGGACCTGCACAAGAGGTAGAAGGTGCAATGGCGCTTTTGGGGCGGCCGGTGGGTTTACCAACTGACATTCGCGACACGACACGCACCATCTGCGCACGTTCTCGTGAATGCCCGGCCAAAAGAATCGGGTCATTAGACAATTTAACGTAGCTGTCATCCCTAGATGCCCCGCCATCGGATTACAATGCGCCGTCTGGAAAAGCATTTCCCGACGGCTCCGTATTAACAATTGGGTTGTATCTTCCTTTGTCTGAGTGTCTTGGGTAACTCGATACAACCTGTCTTTAATAGATGCCAATGCCAACAGGAGAGCAGTCTTCAGCGAGAGAAGTTTAAGATCCACCGACTGGAGTGGTTCAAAAGGTGGACCCTTCAAAGCCCCTAGGACCACAGATAGGTCCCAGGACGGCACAGAAGGAGGTCTGGAGGGGTTAATCCTCCTAGCACCCTTCTAAAATGTCACGACCAGGTCGTTTCTTCCCAGTGACTGGCCAGCTACCAGAACATGGTGTGCTGCAATAGCTGCCACATACACCTTGAGTGTGGACGGGGAGAGGTCTCGACAACCGCCTGAAACTTTGGGGGTCTGCGAGCGAATTGGAGCAAGTAACCTCGCTTTATAATGTTTATGACCCAACTCGACACACCGGGGATAGCTTGCCAGGCTAGAACCCGTGTGGCTAGGGACTGACACACTGAAAGGGGGGAGCCACCTAACGTAGGGGGATCTGAAACCCTTATAATGTGATTTGTGCATACATAGAACGTTTGACCGACTGTACAGGCATTTGCGTGTGGGGAAGTCAGTGCTACCACAGGGGAGGGGCACCTATCTGAGGGGGGCCGTGAACCCGTGTATTGTGCTTGTGAAACATGTTCTTTTTGCGATTTATTTGGGTCGCCGTGAAAACGGCGTTTGGTTGTAAAGACGCGCTTACTGCGGGCCTGTTTACAGAAATAAAATCCCCATCCACCCGAACTGAACAGGGGGTTGTGGGAGGTCTCGTTGGGATTTTCGAGGGTGGTCCGGCCGGCGCGGGACACTCGCCCTCTCTCTTCATGCTGCGTGCTAGGACGATTTCGGCGGTGCTGCTTCGGGCGCAACGCTGGGCCGCGGGCCTTGGCGCCGGGTCATTGGGAAGCGCTTCGCAGCTCTTGTCTGGCGCTGGGCATCAGCCGCAGGGCGGGGCTGAGAGGCCTGCTGTTTCGGTTTCGCTGGCTGAGGCGTAAACGGAGCTGGTTTGGTTTTGCTCGATGCAGAGCTAGAGCGCTTCGGCAGGAAGTGTCGCATGGCCTGGGACGCCTTCTGTGCCTCGGTGTATCGCTCCGCGAACCCCTTCACCGCTGGGCCGAAGAGACCGGTGTTGGTGACCGGTGCATCGAGGAACTTGGACTTCTCAGAGTCCTTGATGTCGGTGAGGTTCAGCCAGAGATGGCGTTCAGCCACGACCAAGCTAGCCATGTTCCTCCCGATCGCCTGCTCTGTAGCCTTGGTAGCCCTCAGGGCTAGGTCTGTCGTGCTGCGGAGGTCCCGAAAGGTCTCCGGATCCGGGCCAGCCTCGTCCATAGACCGGAGGAGTTTGGCCTGGTAGACCTGTAGCACGGCCATCGTGTGCAGGGCTGAAGCAGCCTGCCCGGAAGCGGAATACGCGCGTCCGAGGAGGGCTGACGTGCTTCTGCACGGTTTGTTAGGGTGCACGGCTCTGATCCGCCAGCTAGCGGCCGTGTTCGGGCATAAGTGAGCGGCTACGGCCTCTTCCAGAGGCGGCAACGTCTCGTAGCCCTTCTCCGCCGCGCCGTCCACAGATGAGAGCGTCGCGGGAACTGCAGCGCCTCGTGCAGAGTAGGGAGTGCGCCATGCCTTGGTAAGCTCCTCGTGAACTTCCGGAAAAAACGGAGCTGGTTTATGAAGAGGGGCCTGTTGGTGTCCCGGCAGAAACCATCCGTCGAGCCGACTCCGAGGAGGCTCAGCGGGCGCGGCCCACTCGAGCTCGAGGTCCGCGACGGCCTGTGTCAGGATCCGAAGCATCTCCGCGTCGGAATTAGTCCTGGCAGCAGGGGCGCTGGATGCTGGCTGAGAAACAGCGACAGGGTCGAGCGAGCCCGGCCACTCGTCCTCAGAAGCAGCGATAGACAGGCTGTCGTAATCGCTAGGCCCGCCGAAGGAGACGAGGCCCACCACGTGGGGGGGGCGCTGATCTCCTTCAAACAAGACCGGCGAAAATCGAGCGGGAGAAAGCGAGGCACGCGGGGACATGGCCGGCGTACGATCACTCACATCCATGCTCTCGGGCTGCCGCTGGCTGCGGCGTTTCTTCTTCGTAGGCTGAAGAAGGACCGAGGGAGGAGGCGCGGGCGAAGTGGCATCTTCATCCCTGGCGAGAGCTAGCCGAGTCCGCAGAGAGGAGATGGGCATGCTCTCACAGGCCGCACATCCGCCGGAGGAGAAGGCCTTCTCCGCGTGGTCGAGTCCCAGGCATGAAATGCATCGTGCGTGGTGATCGGCCTCGTGCAGCTTGTGTGCGCACGTGGCGCAGTTACGAGACATCTCGTCGTGTAGAACAAAAAGGATATCGCCGGATAGCCACAGGTGAGACGGCGTCAGGAGACGAACGGCTGAGAAGTGATCTGCTGAAACAATGCTCGCTCAAGCTGAAGGGCTTGTTCGACGGCGAAGGCTCAGTGAAACAGTCAGAGACATACAGTTTGTCGCTGAAGGAGTAAAATCTGCTATTTTGGCGAGTTCAGGGGCTTATATAGGCTAGGCCTCGCCCCTATGACGGGCTCTGACGTGTGATGACGTGGAGCGATCTCATTGGTCGCACGTCAGGAGCGCCCGCGCCATTGGATGTGCAGTTGCTGCAGCACAGCCTATGAGCGAGTGAGACGCTCTATGTGCTAGCTGTGCAGCTGCAAATGCGTTTTACATAAGGTTCAGTAGAATCGAGGAAAAGGAGTTTTCCCACTGCGTATAGCTACGCAATACGAAGTGACCGTTCGAAAGGGAACGCAAATATTTTCCTATTTACATGTTATGATTTGTATAGTCACAGAGTGTACAAATAACAAGGTCATATGAGACATAGCCATCTTTTAACCATATAAATATTGGGAACTATATTCTCAGAAGGCGAAGCACTGCTACTTGGGCGGAGTGATTACCGCAGCACCTGAGACGCACCGTGGTGAGGAGCAGAGAGTTCGTTCAGAGTTGGAGTAATAGAGTCAGCAATTACTAGATAGTAAAAGCACAGTTTACAATCATGGGTGTTCGCTGTATTGTAAAGAGCTGCGACAATAAACAGGGGAGACCAGGTAATACCATGATGTTTCATAGAATTCCACCCAAAAATGCATCCTGATTAATAAATATCACAGAACACAAATAAAAAATTATTATTACAGGAATCGATATATTTTAAATGCAATTTATTACAGCTGAACCAAATGTATTCAACAGCATATAATACAGTAATGTTAGATAATTGCATTGCAATAGGCTAGAATAAGGGAAAAGTAATAGCACAAGGCAAATTGTTAATTGCACAATTAACCCACAGACAGTAGCCTACCCATACTGGACAAGGTCACTGTTTCTCAAAAAAATTAAACTGCCCATCCCCCCTCCGATTCATTAGCAATGTGAAGGCTACAGTCCTGAGTTTACCTCTAGCTCCGCTCATTTGTTACCGGGGCGATAGTGCGCCTTCGTGACAACATAACACTATCATTACAGGGGATACATGGAGACCAGGAACAACTGCAATAGTAGTGACCACCCTATTCATATAATAGTGTCACTAACGTAACATTAGATCTGGCTAATGGCACTGTTACAGTAGGCTAACGTTAGTCATCTAAAAACATAACGGAACGCTTACCGCAGCCGCAGGTGATCCATTTTGTCCTGTCTGTGCTATCGATGGGATGGCCGTATCCTTCAGCACACGTTTCATGGTCTGTGTGGCAAATTCCATTTTTTCAAAATAGTCGTCCTCAGTGAAATGTACTGAGCAAACACGATGGTCCTTGATGATCTCTTCAGGTGTGTTTGGATCTAACGTTATATCCAGAGCAAGTAACTTTGCCATTGATTCATCAGGTCAGCGTTTTTGGTTGGAATTCTATGAAACATCAGGTATAACACCTGGTCTCCCCTGTTTATTGTCGCAGGTCTTTACAATACAGCAAACACCCATGATTGTAAACTATGCTTTTTTGTATCTAATTGCTGACTCTATTACTCCAACTCTGAACGAGCTTTCTGCTCCTCACCACGGTGCGACTCAGGTGCTGCGGTAATCACTCCGCCCAAGTAGCAGTGCTTCGCCTTTTGAGAATATAGTTCCCAATATTTATACGGTTAAAAGATGGCTATGTCTCATGACCTTGTTATTTGTACACTCTGTGACTATACAAATCACAACATGTAAATAGGAAAATGTTTGTGTTATTTTGTTACTTATTGGGATTAGTATGCTAGCTGGAGCCATTTACATCCAGTCTTTGTGCTAAGCTAGGCTAGCGGTAGGTGCGTCAGACAGAGTTACAGTACGCACGGAGATGAAAAAGGTATGTATATGGACTTATCTAACTCTGGGGGATACGGTGACTAACCTAAAGTCCCAAAAAGTCATGTTCCTTTAATAATTGTGTATGAGTCCATCATTTGTCTGTTGTGTAAAAAGTTCATTTAAAAATACCGTTGATTGTATAGACTTGACAAACAGTTATGAATAAAAAATAATGTCTAATAACAGTTTATTTTTATTTAAATATAGGACAGTCAAAGAGATGACTTATTGACTGACCTGACAAACATCACCATGGGCATATGATATGCGTGATTAAAAAGGAAGGAGGAGTTCTTGGAGACTATGACGATATTGGAGTTGTTGTTGATGGGAGTACTGATTCTTGAGGAGATCAAATCTGTTGCACAAGCCTGTGCATTGATGTTGGGTGCAATCTATGTGCTTAATTTGGCATACCCAAAAGAACTAAAATACTAATACTAAGATGGATTCTGAAAGACTCACCCCTAAAATTCGGGGGTGGGGGTGTAGGCTGCCCTTAATCTGCACGCAGGCTAGAATTGCGAAACATTATTGGATAATTCTTATAATTGACATTTCTCTGGGCCAATCGGAATCTTAGTAATTTTTCTCTTGGCCAATCGGAATCTTAGCACTTGCGTCAGAATCGCCATTGGATGAGACACCTGGCTACCACGCGAGTCTGATGGAAACTCATAACGTGAAGGAATCTTATGTGAAATTCGAGGTAAATCAAGCTTTTTTGGAGCAAAAACAACAGCTAGTTGTTTGCTTGATTCAATTAACGTTAGCTACCGCTTTGTTATGCTGCGCTCGTGACAGGGCGCTGAAAGAACGAGCATATATCCACCTTATTCCTGCGCCCGCTACTGTAGAAATCATTATGGGTGAAACTTCTGGTGAGATAGCGGAAGTAGAAGTAAACTAGTAAATCCCAGTGGTTATGGTGCGTGGCTAACCGTTATAATCTGTTCTTTCCTGAGGCAATTCTTTCTAGATTTAAAAATAACTGCAATCTGACAAATACGGTTTTATTTAGTTTTTATTATTTTGTGGTTTATTGTTGTAAAATGTCATTGCGGAGCTCTGGTGTTCGCGGCTGTACTAACAACCAGACTAAGCTAAATATGTGGCTTCAACAACAGTGCGTTGAACATGTAACTAGAACAAAAAGAGATTGTTGTTGTGAGAAACGGTACAATTTCCATCGCCTACCAACAGACGAGGAATGCAAAAGAATTTGGGTGAAAAACCTAAACTTGAAGAGACCACCCAAAACACTGTATGTGTGTTCATTTCATTTTGTTGACAAAAAACCGACGGAGGAAAACCCGCATACAACTTTGTGGTTGGGCTACGAAAGACCACCAGAAAAGAGACGACGGGTCCTGAAAAGGATTGACAGCAGTGCCACTAGAACATCAGGTATGATTTCAGATGCAGGATTTCAACAGCATTGTAGTTTTTGTCTAATAATGTTAATGGCACGTTAGTTTTACTGCTTTCTGTAAAGCTTAAAATGCAGTTTATGGCACGGAGTGCAGGGCAGTATGTTTACAGTTGTTTTTGTGTATAGAAAAAAAAAACCTTTTGCAGTTTTTGATAGAGAGAAACAAGAAACAATTCTAGTTTCACTGTTATTTATTTAACTTATAGACCTACTAATCTCTGTGTAAAAATATGATGCTGCAATCTTTCTAAAGTCACTGTAAATTGGCTCCTAATCTCAGATGAAAATTTTTCATTTAGACCCCCTCTACAATATATATAGTATATACACACAAAATATTTTGACTTTAATCACTATTTATGTTTGTCTTTCTTCAGAAAAAATATTATAATTATATATGATTATAATATAACAATATTAACAAAATTGAGCTGGGGAAGTTTCTGAAATTTGGTTGATTTGACACAGAATGACCCTACTCAGAAACTAAAGCTAAAATGCATATCATAAAAACTAAATGTGTTAGCAGCACAATCCAATAATGATAAAGTGATAATAAAGTGATAATATCTCTAATGCTCTAATAACTGTGAACTGTATTGTTACCCTCAGATGAGCTTGATGGGTTGGATGAGATTGATTGGGAGCCATGCTCTAAATCAAAGCCCTCCTGTGATGCCCAAACTCAGTGGTCAGACCCAGAGATGGAGGATCACACCTATTCAAAAGGACCTACCATCACCTGCAGAACGAGCACTACACCATCCCCAGAATTACCATGCCCTGTTGCAGACAGTATTTTGGAGAGTGATGCAGACTCCCTCTTGTACACAGGGATTCCACTCATTGCGTTTCACACCCTTGTATCCTGCCTACAACCATTTGCCCCTACTTCTTCATCCATGCCTGTTGTGGACCAAATCCTAATGACCTTAATGAAACTAAGGCAAAACTTTGTCATGGCTGATTTAGCACACAGATTTAAAACGTCACAAGGTCAGGTCAGCAAGACTGTTGGAATCTGGATAGACATAATGTCTGAACACACCAAGGATCTTGTTATCTGGTTGCCTCGTGAAACAATCAAAGCTATGTTGCCCCAAGCTTTTAAAGAACGCTTTTCAAACACAACCTGTGTAATTGACTGCTCAGAGACTGTCTTACAGAAAGCCAAAAACCTCAACTCTAGAAGTGAATCGTACAGCCACTACTATGCTAACAACACTGTGAAATATTTAGTGGCAATTTCTCCCTCTGGAATGATCATGTTCATTTCAGATGCTTATGGTGGCAAATGCAGTGACAGATACATAACACAGAACTCAGGGTTTCTGGACTATTTGCGTGCTGGAGACGAGGTGATGGGTGACCGTGGTTTCACAATCAGGGATTTGCTGGAGGAGCGTAGAGTAAACTTAATCATTCCAGCATTTACACGCAAAGGATGCCAGCTGACCAACGAGCAGGTAACGCATACACGGCGTATTGCTCATGCCCGCATTCATGTTGAACGGGCAATAAGGCGTCTGAAGGTGTACAAGATTCTTTCGCAAACAGTGCCAATTAGCTTGGTCCCAAAGATTGATAAAATGCTCAAGATCTGTGCTGGTCTAGTGAATTTAAGAGGTGAGCTTATTTCAAGTGAAAAGTGAGAAAGAGAAGAGAGTCAATATATTGCACTTCAACACACACACACACACTTAATTCATTTCACATTTCAAAAACTGTGATGGGGTACAGCTACACTTACAGGACCTCTAATACATTACACTCAGGTAAAGAGCTGTATAAACTTAAAATCTAGAAATAAAGCAGAAAAAAACAGAAATTGAATAGAAAATGTTTTGATTTGTCTTTTTAATGATGCAATATATTATCTAACTTTTGTATCTAACACATGTAATATACCTTTCTAATGCCTTGAGTTTTTAATACTTTTTAAAAAATATATATTTTAGTTTTTCCTATTTATGCTTTTATACAGTATGTAACAAAGTTCGACTTTATGGAGGAAGAAGGAGACAGGGTTGGCGAGATTGGGACTCGTACGTTGTTTATTTCAACCAAAAATAATAAATGTTGTGCACACAGCACGTTCACCGTAGTTTTACTACAGCAACAAAATAACTCAAATAACAACTCATTCCACGCTGGTTCAGCTTCAAGGTCTTCCACAGCTTTGCATAAACTCTTTCCACGCTGCTTTCAGCTGTCCCAGTTTTTCTCTTTGCTCACGCACGAGTCACCAGTCCTCCTCTCTCTCCTCATTCTCTCAGTCTGTGGGTTTTTATGCGTCTCCCCACGCCAATCACTGCAATCAGACACAGGTGTTTATCATTTGCACTTGACCCACTTACTCACCGCCGCGCCCTCTGACTCGTCTCTCACTACAGACGGCGCTAAAACCACGCCCCCCTCATCACATACCCCCACCGCCCGACTCAGGCCGGGGAACCGTCCGGCCTGCAGCCCCCCCCCTCCTGGAGAGAAAGTCGGCCACAGCCATCTGCGTCCCCGGCCTGTGGACCACCTGAAATTTAAACGGTTGTAAAGCCAGATACCAACGGGTGATCCGCGCGTTGGTATCTTTCATGCGGTGGAGCCATTGAAGGGGAGCGTGGTCCGAACACAGGGTAAACTCTCGGCCCAGGAGGTAGTATCGGAGGGTGAGGACAGCCCAACGGATGGCCAAACACTCCTTTTCTATGGTGCTGTACATCGTCTCTCTCTTGGAAAGCTTCCGACTGATGTACAGCACCGGCCGTTCCTCCCCCTCCACCTCCTGGGACAGGACCGCACCCAAACCCCTGTCCGAGGCATCCGTCTGTAGGACAAAAGGGAGAGAAAAGTCAGGAGCATGCAAAAGCGGTCCGCCGCACAGAGCAGCCTTTATGTTGGTAAAAGCCTGCTGGCACTGCTCCGTCCACTGAACCGTATCTGGAGCGCCCTTTTTAGTTAGATCAGTCAGCGGGCTAGCGAGGTCCGAATAATTGGGAACAAACCGTCTATAGTATCCCGCTAGCCCCAGGAACTGTCTAACCTCCTTTTTGGTCTTAGGACTCGGACAGGTCGCAACCGCAGCAGTCTTATCAATTTGGGGACGCACCTGTCCATGTCCTAAGTGGAAGCCCAGATACCTTACTTCAACCCGCCCAATTGCACACTTCTTCGGGTTGGCCGTGAGCCCAGCTCTTCTCAGCGTTTTCAGAACAGCACGCAAATACTGCATATGTCGCTGCCAATCATTACTATAAATAATGATGTCATCTAGATAAGCAGCGGCATATGCAGCATGCGGCCGGAGAATTCGGTCCATTAAACGCTGAAAAGTCGCCGGTGCCCCAAACAACCCGAACGGAAGTGTGACAAATTGGTGCAATCCGAACGGCGTGGTAAAAGCTGTTTTTTCTTTAGACATTGGAGATAAGGGGATCTGCCACTAACCTTTTGTTAAGTCCAGTGTCGAATAAAAGCGAGCAGAACCAAGCCGATCAAGCAACTCGTCAATCCTGGGCATTGGATACGCATCAAACTTAGACACCGCGTTCACCTTCCTATAATCCACACAGAACCGAATCGAGCCGTCAGGTTTTGGTACCAAAACGATCGGGCTCGCCCAGTCACTGTTGGACTCTTCTATGACCCCCATGTCCAGCATTGTCTCTAATTCGGCCTGAACGGTTTTCTTTTTATGTTCAGGGAAACGATACGGGCGGCAACGTACCACGACCCCCGGATCTGTCTCAACGTGGTGCTGAATGAGGTTCGTTCGACCAGGCAGGGGCGAGAACACATCGGCAAATTCTGCCTGTAGGGATGTGATGTCAGCGAGCTGCGAGGGCGAGAGGTGATCACCAGAGGGAGCCAGAGCGAATGACTGGGATTTAACATACGCTTCTGGCCCGAGATCCTCCTCTCCAGTCACCACCGTCGCCAGCATCACTGCCTCAGCCTCAACCCATTTTTTTAGCAGGTTGAGGTGGTAAATCTGACGTCCCCCACCCTGATCCGATCGAATTACCTCATAGTTGAGATCACCAACTCGCCGTGTGACCTCAAACGGCCCTTGCCACTTTGCGAGTAATTTCGAGCTGGACGTGGGAAGTAATACAAGTACCTTATCTCCCGGTGAGAATTGACGAAGTTTAGCCCCCCTATTGTATTGCTGTCTCTGTCTGTCCTGGGCCTGTAACAAATTCTCCAAAGAGAGCCGCCCCAATGTGTGGAGTTTTGTTCTCAGGTCCAGGACATTCTGAATTTCGTTCTTACTAGCGGACGGTCCGTCCTCCCAAACCTCCCTCAGTACATCCAACACCCCACTGGGCTGGCGACCGAAAAGAAGCTCGAAGGGGGAAAACCCCGTGGAGGCTTGGGGGACCTCGCGTACAGCAAACAGAAGGGGTTCCAACCATTTATCCCAATTTTTGGCGTCTTCGTGAACGAACTTACGAATCATGGTTTTTTAATGTACGATTAAACCGTTCGACCAGGCCGTCCGTTTGTGGGTGATAGACGCTGGTGCGAATCGATTTAATGCCCAACAATTCGTAAAGCTCGCGTACCGTTCGTGACATAAACGCCGTGCCTTGATCGGTGAGGATCTCCTTAGGGATCCCCACCCGGGAGATTAAAGAAAACAGCGCGCTTGCCACACTCTTAGCGGAGATATTGCGAAGCGGGACTGCTTCTGGGTATCGTGTTGCGTAATCTACCAAGACTAACGCAAAACGATGCCCTCGTGCTGACCGTTCTAATGGCCCGATGAGGTCCATACCAATTCGTTCGAAGGGGACCTGCATCAGCGGAAGGGGGCACAAGGGTGCTTTTGGGTTGGCCAGTGGATTAACCAACTGACATTCACGACAAGACGCGCACCACCTGCGCACGTTCTCGTGAATGCCCGGCCAAAAGAATCGGGCCATGAGACGGTTTAGTGTCGCCGTTTGCCCCAAATGACCGGCCATCGGATTACAGTGAGCCGCCTGGAAAAGCATTTCCCGACGGCTCTTTGGTACTAACAACTGGGTTGTGTCCTCCTTTGTCTGGGCGTCTTGGGTCACCCGATACAACCTATCTTTGATCACACAAAAATAGGGGTAAGAGAGCGGTTGGTCCGGGTGGAGTAGCTGACCGTCGATGGAACGGACCTGGTCAAACGCGCGTTTTAGCGTCTCATCCGGGGACTGCTCTAGGGGAAAATCATCGCGCTCGGAGAGGATATTTCCCTCCAAAGTGCTCTCTTCCCCTACAGCAGTACCCAGAGGCCCCGGTACAGCATCCCCCACCTGAATCACCGCTGTCTTCCCCTGGTGCTTCTTTTCCCAAGAGACATCCGCACATAAAACCCCCAATAACTTCTTGAAACCAGGCCAATCGGTACCCAAGATTAGCGGATGTCGGAGGTGCGGGTTAACTGCAACCTCCACACTATGTTTTTGTCCCCTAAATAGAATTTCTACCGACATTAAAGGATAACTCACCACCACACCGTGCACACACCGCACCTTAACCACGCGGCTGTTATCCAATGCCCCAGATCGAACCAGGCTTTGATGAATCGAGGTTTGGTTGCATCCTGAATCCACCAAAGCCTGATAAGTACCCCCCTTTATACTCACTGGTATTTGGTACGGGCCGGCTTGATCGGGGGCGGCCTTTGGCGCGTCGGGGACCCGAACCAGTGTCCCCACCTCCATCACCGGGCACCTGTCGATGAAGTGGCCCGGGTCCCCACAGCGCCAACAGGCCGGCCCAGGTTTTACCGCTGTTCCAGCGGCAGGAAGTGGGCCAAGGGATTGACGTGGGGAGAGAGGCGCCAGCTGCGCCAGGGTGGAAAGTTCCCCAGCCGGTGTCCCCCTCGTCGCCGTCCTCGCGGCCGCGCCATTGTCACCGGACCACCCGGACCTCCACCTCGGCGCTGGTCTGGGTGCAAAGCCTCCTCGCGACCTAGGAAGGGGAACAGGCTTTGTAGAAAGGGAGGGGGTAGAGGCCGGGGAAGAGAGAGAGAGAGAGGGGGAGAGAGAGACAGATGGAAGGGTTTCGCCGACCCCAGAGCACGCCACCATGTGATCCTCCGCCAGTTGGATGGCCTGGTCCAGCGACGTCGGGCGGTGGCACTGGACCCACTGTGCAGTTTTCTTGGGGAGCTTCACGATAAACTGTTCCAGTACCACCTGGTCGATAATCTGCTCGACGTCGCTTCCCCCGGCCATCAGCCATTTGCGGCAGGAGTCCCGGAGCTGTTGCGCCATCACGAAGGGCCGGCCGGACTCGTCGAGTGTCAGAGACCTGAAGCGCTGGCGATGCTGTTCCGTGGTCCGACCGACCCGTTGCAGGATGGCGCGCCGTAGGTCTTGATAGACCAGGAGACTCGCGACTGGCAGCTGGTGGGCGGCAACCTGCGACTCCCCTGACAGCAGCGGGATGAGACGCAGTGGCCAGTCTGCCCTGGGCCAGCCCCGGGTCTCGGCCATCCTTTCGAAGAGGTCCAAGAACGCCTCCGGGTCGTCAGCTGGACCCATCTTCGATAAGGTGAGCGGCAAGGCCGAGTCTGATGTTGGAGGGGGGCTGGCCGGAGTCTCCCGGTCCAAACAGCTCCGGAACAACTCGCGGTCTTCCTGTTGCCCTTGGAGCAGCGCCTGAAAGCGCCGCT